ATATATAGAAATAAATATGAATATGTATGTATATATCACCTATCAGACTGACAAGCTTCCTATAATCGACCTGGAGACATATATAAATATATATGTATATATTACGATAGCCTTCCTCGTCTAAGTCGACCCTACAGCACGGTTTTCCCCAGCACTCCCAACCTCACATGAAGTCCATTACCAATTCCGTATAAGGACAATAATAATTATGGAACCTCCTCAGATAATTACTCCCAGCCTGGCCCTTCTGCAATAGAAGCCTCGGGGCAGAGTCCATTTTCTTCAGAATCTTCTTCCCATGCTGCTCCTTCGTAGGTACAAAGATTCTTAGGGTGGGTTGGGGTTTCGAAGCTGTTTCGGCTTGGGTTTCATTCTTAATATAATGATTGCTAGCTGTCTCTAGACACTAGGAGGATCGACGTGGCTTGCCAAATACCCCTTGGCACATAGAATGCGATGTTTGGGATGGGTTGCGGTTTGAAACCTATGTGGCTTGGGTTTGATTCTTACAAGTACTGTGGGGCCTTGAGAAAAGAATCTAATTAGGATGGACATTACTTCCCAAATACCCCTGGCCAAATAGAATGGGCTGGGTTGTGGTTTCATACCGATCTGGCTTCGGTTTGATAATTACAAAGTCCTACTTGGGGTCTTCATGTGAGATTGCTGGGCTGATTCTGGCTTCCCAAATACCCCTTGGCACATAGAATGATGAATGGCCTGGCTTAGGGTTTGGAAGCTATTTAATTTTGGGCTGGGTTGGGACTTGGAAACTATGGCTTCATTATTCTAGGGAGTCCTGGGTGTCTTTATAGGATATATGAGTAGGATCGACTTGGCTTCCGAAATAGAGACGAGAACCCAGGGATTTTAAATGCAACTGCAAGATTTTCTTGCAGAACCGAAGCAGATACTCCTGGGTCTTCTTGAGTAGCCTGGAACCAGTCCTGGGCTAGCATTCGGAGTTGCACTTCCTAGGTGTCACTACTATCGGGGCGAGGTCTTTTTCTTTTTGAACAGGTATTCCAGATTTAAACCCAAGCATCACAGAGACTCTGCCTCGCCTGACCTGTGGAGTAACCACTCCATCTCAGGAAAGACAGAGCCTTGACCGTCGTCTTGTGGACAGCTTCTTGGCCAAAGGTCCGATAAAGGGCATTGGTCTTGTCTTTAGTGAGGATGATAATTGGATGTTGTGCTTGCTGCTTGCAAGACCCACTGACCCGAGGCATTGACAGGCTGGCATTGCTGTAGGGTAGGGAGCCCTTTTCCTCGTGATGCTTGAATCATAGCTTGAACAATTTATAGAATGTGTTTAGGAATCTAGATAGTATTATTAATTATATAGGCAGGGCTTAGAGGGTTTAGGGGTAAGTAGGGTTTTAGACGTAGACATGCAGATGAGAGGCCTCCTCATGCCCTCCCGACCTCACACGAGGTACACTGAATACAAGTACATATTAACACAAGCATTGGCATGTGCAGCATCTGTTGCAAACAAGGCACAGTAGGCTCGTCGCATATTGCGTGTCCCAGCAAACATGTCGTAGTGCATGAGGTCCTAGCTTGCATAGTAATTAATACACAATATAATAATGTACGTGTGCAGGCAGTTGACGAGTTTAAATTCCCAAGGCCGTGACCCGAAAGCTCATGTTTGGCGGAGAACTCTGGGCCACATAGTCAGAAACATGGATCCTTCTGTAGCAGCTGCAGCAGGTATCATGATGAGGCTTTAGTTGCATTGAAATATATCGACACATGAACATTTC